GAAGCGCAAAATAAATTGTTTTTTGTTAGTACATATTATAATAAAAATAGATAATAAAAATATTAAAAATAATAAATAATAATATGTCAAGTTCTGTATTCGGAAACCATTTTCACTGTTTTAAGTTTACAAGTAGGAAATAAGAAGACATTTATTTTTATGTCTATTTAATTAATTTCTTTTTAATATTCAACATTTGCTAATATTTTGTTAAATTTAATATTTTTAATTTTATAAACAAAATTTTCTCAAATCTTTCAATTATTACATAAATAATTTATATACTATGTATATATATATATACACTCCGTTTCACTTGAATAGCACACTTCACATATTTAATTTCTTTTCTTTATATCTTTTAAACTAATGAAATAAAACAATTTTTTTTTAGATTTTATAGGTAGTGTGATTAATAATCTTCATTATAAAAATAAAAAAACTTGCATTTTTTCAATAATTTTTATATTAAAAGATGACAAACTAAATAAGTATATAAATAGCATAAAAATTTCGTTTCACTTGAATAGCACATTTTTGTTTTTTAAATAAATTTAATTATTTTATGCACTAGGGACTGTTTATTTATTTATTATTAAGGATTAATTTGTTAAAATTAACATTTTAGTAATGAGTTGAACCTCCCTTGTTTAATATAACCTCATAGATCCTATCGGGAAGTGAATCATACAAAATTTTAATATAATCAAGGGAAATTGTAGCCCATGCTCGTTGAATTGCTTCAATTAGTTCAGTTTTTGTTGAATATTGTTTTCCAGATTCATACACTTTTCTAGCCAGCCATCACCAAACATTTTCTATTATGTTAAGGTCCGGCGAGTATGGTGGACAGTTCAGAACAGCAACATTTCTGGATTCAATGAACGATTTTACAACACGAGCAGTATGTATTGGGGCGTTGTCTTGTTGGAAAGTCTACGGCAATTCTCCAAAAAGATTCTCTAATTAAGGAAAAGCTTTTTCTAAAACTCCTTGGTACGATTTTATTTCATAGTTGTGTTTAAGAATTGGAGTTCACAAGTGCCATAGTAAGATATGGCTCCCCAAACCATAACTCCGCCCATTCTACTGTGTAAACGCTCCAACTGATGAGTTTCTTTCCTCAAATCATGAAAATAATAATTGTAACCGTCGGGCCCTTCCAAATTAAACTTTTTCTCATCAGAGAAAACAACATGATTCCACTCCTTACTCCATGACATGTTGGCACGGCAAAAAGTCAACCGAGCTTCTTTACGTATAGGGTTAAGTGGTGGTTTTTTTTTTAATTTAAGCCGTTTTAGATGTTGGGCATTCGAAATAACCCGCCATACGGTAGTTTTGCTTGCATTGACACCAGCTTTAAACCTTATTTTGTTGACCGAATCATGCGAATTCGAAGCTTGCCTCAAAATAGCCCGCTTATCTGCATAGCTGAGGACGCTTTTTACACGGCCTTTCATATTTTTTCCATAGTTAAGATCATTTTGAATGAAATTGTATATCACTTTTCTGCTTCTTCTGATTTTTTTTGATATTTGAGTTACAGACAGGTCAGAATCAATGAAGATTTTTATTTTGACCTGTTCTTTGTTGGTTAAAGCATTACCACGACCCATTATTAATTTAAATCGTCACACTGTATTTAAAACTCACAAATAAATAAAAAAAACTTAATATTGTGGTGAGCTGCTACTCATAAATTAAATTGAAAACCAAATGTGCTATTCAAGTGAAACGAAATACATACTAGTTATTGATGCAAATTCAAAAGAAAATAACGGGAAAATTTAACGGTACATTTCTGCAGTACTAATTTTTTTTGGAGGAGACTACATAAGGAAACAAACAAAAAAACCCAACAATTATTACAACAAAGTCATGAGATCATTGATAGATAAGCAAATAATAATGCAAAAGCGAAGTGTGCTATTCAAGTGAAACGGAGTGTATATATATATATACTATGTATATCTATATATTTATATATATTACTATATTTCGTTGTGATGAATTATATTATTAAGAAACATTTTTAAGAAGCTTTTTTAATTAATAACCGTAAACAAATCACAAAGTTAGTATTTATTTATTTAAAATATGTTAAAGTACAATTGTGATGATGGTGTTAAAAAAATGTTTTTTTCAAAAAATAAAATTATATATAAAGAATTCGAATCAACTTGTACTTATTTTCATATTTTCATACATAAAGTGGGTGGCAATTTCAGAAATAAATAGATGTTTCAGTCTAACAAAAATACCAAATGATTTATGTTAATTAAAGTCATTGAACGATATAAATATTTAAGAGATATGCCCATTTGCTCAAGTAATCAAGATTATTTTTTGATTTTTACAAAACAAAAAAAGAAAAGAAAAATGCTTGAATAAAAATATTAAAAATCACAAATATTGAGATTCTTTTGTTTTGGCCTTATTCTTAAATTGTATAGTGTTAATAATTATAGACCATTTGTTCATGTCTTGCAAAAAATTTAAATAAAAAAATAAATAATTGTTTCAAAAATAATAATTATTCATCTTGTATTTCAATCGAAAGTGAAAAACAAAATAATGTGAAAAATTATTAAATGCAAAATGATATTGAAAATGTAAATTATTTCTTTATTTAAAAAAAAATATCAATGTATCATATATTACTTAATATAATATGATAATGTAAAGTATTCGATAATATAAAGGATTCGATGAAAAAGTTGTTTCATATAGAAAAATTAATTGTATAAAAAATAATTATATATACATATACGTAGAATAAAAATAATTATAAATACGAAATTAAAAATAAAATGAGTAAAAAATTAGTAAAAATAACAAAACAAAGAAAAAATTACGAAATTAAATATATAATACAGAAATAATAATAAATACTTAAAAACAGATTGAAAATGCTTAAAAATAAAAACTTATAAATATATATATATATAATATATTGACAAGAATATTGATTCAAAATTTTACGTAAATACATAACTCTATGTAGTACAATTAAATCAAAAAAAAAATAAATAAATAAATAGAAAAAAACTAATTTAAAAAAAAATCAAAACAATAGAAAATGAAAAACAAATAATTGAGTATTCGTTATACAAATAATATTAAAAAATTATATTGTTCAACACTATAGTGTGGAAGCTCAAAAAAATAAAAGAAAAAATAGTATACAATACAAAATAATCAAAAAAATTCAACAAAATATAAAATGCCTTACAGAAATTTGTTCCATATTAACCATTAAATAATAATAAAAGAAAAAAAATTTAATAATAATTTTGGTAGAAATATTAAAACAGGTGCATTAAAAATAAAATAATATTATTTAAACAATATATATAATATAATTTAAAATATACGTTTATAAATTTACTTAAACATTAAAAATAAAAAATATTAAATAAAAAATAATATTTTTTTGTGGTGTTTTTTTAATAATAATTTTAATAATTTTAATTTCTTGTAATAGGGTAACAAAATATGAACAAATATGTAGTAAATAATGTTACTACGAAAATAGAACCGAGTTTGACAACAACAATTAAAATAATAAATTACATTTATATAAAACTGTAGTTTATGCATTTTTTCAGCAATCAGCATAGCAAGTGCTTTGTTGTTGTTTGATATAATTAATGCAGCACTTGACTGGTGGAATTATTGCATTATGATAGGTTCAAAGTTATGAGACTGACAATTGCAGTTCAAAAATATATAAAAATATATTAAATAATATATTAAAATAAATATATTAAAATAATACAGATTCAAATAAAATTCTTTGAATATACCAGGTATTAAACCAAAAATATTCCCAAACACCAATAATGAAGATTATTTGATTTAATCCAAAAAAATGTATGAATAGTCAAAAAATTCAATTAATTCAAAATAACTCTTTTATTTTATTGTAAAATTTGTAAAAAAATAAAACAAATAAAATGATTAATGTACCATAAATGATTCAAAAATCAATATCATACATAAAAGTATAATAAGTTGTAAAGAGTACAGATAGAAATAATCGAATTTAATTTTAAATGATACAATATGTTAAACAAATTACATAAAGAAAATAAAAGCACAAATGAAAATAAATCTTAAAATAAAAGTATTTGTCCATAACATCAGAATACACAACAATAATAAGAAATCAACAGTAATGAAAATAAATAAAATTATTATTTTAGGGTGAATAATAAAATAAATTATATAAATAAGAACTAAACTAAAGAAAGTCAACTAGATAAGAACTAAATAAATAATAACAATTAAAAAAAAATTACAATAAATTATTAAATTACAATAAAAAATAAAAATTATTTTAAATAATCAAATACATATATATAAAACCTAAAGTATAAATAAGTCCAATTTATAAATGAATTACGATAAATAATATTAAAATTGCTTGAATGCTTACACTGCAATAAAAATAAAATACAAAATAAAAAAAATAGATAAAAAATTTAAAGGAAAATAAAAAAACAATCAAAATAAGTAAAATATCAAAGTAAGAACAATGAAAAATCAAAATTATATATACATATATAATATAATTAAAAAAAATTTCATGAAAAATTTATTTATTTTATCTATGTCAGGTATTTTGTTCATTTCTATTTCACATTTTAAAAATATTTTTATATTTTAAATAAGAGTAGTCTTGCAAGAAATTATATTCTTTTAAAATCTATCATTCTATTTCTGCAGATTTACTCACAGTTTATTGTTCATATCAGGTTATTAGGGTTAGGAAAGGTTAGCATCCAGTAGATTTGCTTTACACTTTTTTATGCCAGTTAATCAGACTTTATATATAAAAGAAGCAATAAATTTACAGCACTTTGAAATTTTAGAATAAGCCTTCGTACTCAAACGTATATTAGTCCTATTTGAAAAGTGCTTAAGAAATTTTTAAAAAAATTCAAACTTTCAAATATATATGCTAAGGAGTATTAGATAGAACCTAGTGAACTCACCGTTTTTAATGCTCGGTTCACGTTTTATAGAGGGAGTTTTGCGTAATTGCTTCGTTTTGAATTCTGGCTTTGGCTCCTCTTTGGGTTCTTTAAGAAATTCTTCAATTTTCGAAACTTTTTTCAAAGCCGGTCTTATTTTCAAAATATTTTCGGAACTTTTGGCAGGCAAGGGCTTTTCTTCACGTTTAACGTGTCGCAATTTTGGTTTTTCTAATTTAAAACGTAATCTACGTTCGCGTTCCTCATCAGTTTCACCGTCTACAAACTCATCTTCATCTTCTACATTTTTCATGGACTTATCGCGTTTAACTGCGACCGGGCGTAATTTAGGCTTTTCGATTGAGAAACGACGTTTTAATTCAGTATCATCAGTTTGTTTTTTGCGAGGTGTTGGTTTTAATTGTGGATGGGAGCTCAGGGTATCATCAAACTCAGACATATCTATATCTGATAAACCTTCTAAATCTGAAATACCTTTAAGTTCATCATCCTCTTCTTCCTCCTCTTCGGATTCGCTCTCAGTTTCTTCTTCTTCTTCAGTTTCTTCTTCTTCCTCAGTTTCTTCTTCTTCGGAGGATGATGGCGTCGGTTCTTTCTTTTTAGCAGCTGCACTTGTTTTTATAGTTGTTGTATTTGTTGTTGGCTTTTTAATTGGTTCGTTTATTTTTTTCACAGGTGCTACGATTTTTTTTACTGGCTCTACAATTTTTTTTGTAGCTTCAACTGTTTTCTTAACCGGTTCTACTGTTTTTTTGACCGGCTCCACAGTTTTCTTTGCTGGTTCCACTGTTTTTTTTGTGGGTTCCACTGTTTTCTTTGCTGGTTCGGTTGTCTTTTTGGGAGTCTCTACATTTTTTTTAGCTGCACTGTCTGCAGTTGTTTTCTTTGCAGTTGTTGTGCTATTAGTGGTGGAGGCTGCAGCTTGTTCACCATTTTCCTTTTCTGCTGCATTTTTCTTAGCCCATGGAACGGAAGTTTTAACTGTGGACTTAAGTGCAGTTGCGCCATCATCCTTCACCCACGGTGGACGAAATGTAGTGCGTCCTGTGCTGTTGGATGTTGATGCTGTGCTATTGCCTTTTGGTGCAACAAAAGGCATTTTCGTTAATGTAATTTTTTACTTTTTGTTTAATTATCTTTGAAAAAAAATTTGTGGCTATTATTTTGCAAATTTTAAGCTGCAATTTTTTCTTTTACACTGCAAATTTACTTAAAACATTTTCTGTTGCACACTTAACACACTTTACGTAGAGTTTGCGATCTGTTTTATAAACAAAATATTTCGTGGAAAAAAATTTGTTTTTAAGTATTTTAGTAATTTTATTTTAAATTTTTTTTTAAATTTATTTTTTGGAAATTTTGCCTTCTTCTGCTTTTAGTTCATGCACACCGGAAAAATTTGAAATGAAATTAACAGTTGAAATCACTCGTTAGCGGTGCATGGAAAGAACTAAAATACACAAAATAATTTAATACATAAAATTACATAAAAAACTTCGCATATAATTTTCACTTTTTATGAATATTTCTATTATTCAAATAGTTTATTTTCGGACTTTTTATTTATATTTTTTTATTAGGAGCACGGCGAATGTTCTTCGGGCCACAACAACAGCTGTTTCAGATTTTTAATTCAAAGGCTTCTGGCTTTTGGCTTCTGGTTCTTTGAAATACTCATTTTCTGCTGTGTTTTGTGTGTTTGTATCTTTTTATTTTTAAATCTGTTTGCCTCAGTAGCGCAAATTTATTTAGGCTAACAGGAACTCAATGACTGGCTGGCTGGCGTTGCTGTGTTGGTGGTTATGGTGCTGGTTCTTATTAAAAATAGGCTAATTTGACTAAGCCAGCCACAGCCGCAGCGCTATGTCATCGTCATCGTTCACAAATTTGTATAGATTCTAAGTGTGACTAATAATAACTTGTGCAATGATAGATGAAATTTTATTCATTATAAGTACCAGTAAAGCATCCACAAATACCTAACAAAAATTAAGTTTTCGTTTCAATTTCACAGAAACTACAAATAATTTATTTCGAAAGGCAGATAATAAATTCTTCACATTTTTCTATGTCGTTCTATTATTAATTGGGATTTCACTTGCATTGCAGTATTGCAGTAAAGTGTATGATATATTATAGTACAAGTACTATATTTATACTTAATTGTAAACATTTATAATTTAATTTAGATATGTTATTTTTTCATCTTTAATTATATTAATTTTTTCAAATCATTTAGGAAATTTTTTAAATTAAGTGTTTTTGATTATTTTTGCTATAAATAACAAATTTACAAGTTGATTGAGCAACTTCTTCTACTACAGTATTCAGATAATAATAAAACCGTACAAATATACTGAAATACCTAAAAGAAAATAATGAAAACGCTGTATTTTTCACTCAACTATAGTCTTGATACGATATACTATATTTGGCGTAAGTAAGTCAGGTTTTTACGGAAATCTTAAGGATTTATTTAAACCGTGGAAAAATTGTATTGCCGTATACAATTTGAAGAGTATATTATCAGTATATTATTTATATAATATAGTATATAGTATATTTTTATATTTTTATATTTTTATTTATATTATATAGTATATTTATAGTATTTTATACAGTATATATATAGTATATATTATATAGATAGTATATTTTTATTTATATTATTTATTTATTTATGTATATACATATTTTTTATTTATATTTATTTATTTACTAGTCATAATTTTTTAACAACTTTGATGTGATTATAATTAAATTATATTATTATATTGTATTATTTATTTAATTGATATCTGAAGTAAATCATAAGAAGCCACTATTGTGTTACTGTTTAATGTATGATTTTATCGAATTGATTATGTCTTACTGCAACTAACCCCCTACACTATTCAAGTCCGAATTAATAGAGATATTTAAAATTTATTTTTCTTTTTTTATTATATATTAGCAGTATTATTTTGTTATTGTTATATTGAACTATTGAACTCATTGACTTTGAGACAAGTAGTAGAAAATTGCAAAAACAAAATTTTATTATTTTAATTTGATTGAATTTTTGGCTGACTATGCATTTAACAATTAAAAATAACTATAATTAAGAAATTTAGTTATTCTCTATATATTATTCTATTATAACATATCAAGTGTGTTTGTTAATGAGATTTTACAGCAAATTAACCCAACTAGAGCCAACAAGTCAAGTACGGTTTAAGCTCAGCTGGCTAATGAACACTGACTCTGAGCTTCAAATTCGGCAGGGTACGAGTTCAATTCTTGAGCTTGCATTTTCATAAAATAATTTACAAATAATTAAATATGAGAAATAATTCAAAAGACCACTGATGGTGAGTATTTGACAATACTGGAAACAGCTGTATGGTTAACCAAAAATACAATAAATTAAAAATAACTAAAATTTTGTTGTTACAATTCACTACTGTTCGAAATACGTCTCTATTAAGTAAAATACCTTGTATTAAGTAAGATCGAAGAAATCGAATTATAATTTATTATTCTTATAAATGTATATATAGCGTTATTATTGACTTTTTTTATTTTTATAGCATTATTTTAATTATATTATAATTTATAGTTAACTACAACTATTAAGTTTAACTTCTCTTGTGTATTTTTTCTTGGTTAGGTAGTGACAGAAGATCTTAATTTAGGTTTACCGCAATTACCTCATTTTTAATAATACTATTCTTAAAATAAAGCTCTAATTTGTTAATATATTGACTGAAAAATGGTTGAAACGTTTTATTCACTTGTCGTGTTTTGATCTAGAAATACTTATAACCTTCAACAGGTTCAAAATTTGAAAAGCAAAAATCCTACTTAAATCAAAATTTACAACCCAACAGTTGTTAATTTTTTGTTTTTTTGTAAAATGTATATATAATATATATTTTTGTCGTCATTCATATACACCGTCTTTTGAATTTAAAAAAATTTTCTACAATTTTCTGTATTCATACACATATATGCAGAGAACAGCCAAAAAGTTTATATTTAGAATATTATATAGGCGATTATATATATTTATTTTTTTGAGAAGTGCCGTCTCCATACATTTTTCGCGTATTTTCAAAAATTTTTCTTTCTATATAATTTCTCCTGCTCTTCTCTTATTTTTTTTTCTCAGTTTCAATGTATTTTTTTGTGTTTTCAAAATAAAATTTTATGGAGGCGTTTTGAACCGCATAAAAAAAATTTGAAGGCGAATGCAAATGTTTTTGCTAAAACTACATAAATCTTCTTGTATATGAATAATTTATTATTTAAGATTTAATTCTGAAATAAAATTTAATTATATATAACATCTGTTATTTATTTTATATGATGATAAAGGTATATATATATCTATATATGTTGCTTTTAGAAATTAAGTGAAATGCACTTCTAATTTAATAAGTGTTTCTAATTTTTGAAAGTGTATAATCTTAAGCAAATCACCTTAATGAAATTCAGTAAGTAATCTTTTTTATTAAATACTACTGCTGACGAGTCGATCATCTTGGCATGCGTTATAATATTAAAATGGACACTTTATTAAATATAATAGAATGCCGTCTTTGCCTAGCAATAGATGGGATTGCTAGTCATATTACTGGTAACTCGGTTAGTATTAATAACAAAGTTTTTTTAGAACATCTGATGATGAACTTTGAAGAATTGGACAAATACCACTAATTGCTGAAGATATATGAATTAATTTAAAAGTCACTCTAAGTCCAAGTAAGTGACATTAGATCTTAAGGTCTAAATATTTGAAAGGGAATATTTACCCTTACTACAATAACATAACTTTAAAGTTCTAGTATAGCGAAGACTGTGACCGTTGGCTTTAATTGTGCTCTATTTCAAAAATTAGCATTAGATACTGTGTATCCATCTAACAAACCCTGTTATCCCCTTATTTTAATAATTCCATGACTATATCAGGCACCATAATTGTTATATTATTAAATTTATATTAATGTTATTAGAATAAGTTCAACTACATTATAATATTTAGAAATAATAAGTTTTATAATATAATAATATTATTTTCTAAAATTATTCGTTCAATTGTTTTTATTAATTAATTATATTACTGTATTATAATTAAATATATTGTAACTATAATTATTGTTACTGTTTTTATTTTAAGTAAATGCTTTCTCTTGAATGTTTATTATTATTTTCATTATTATTTATTTTTATGACTAAAAGTTTTTATGTTTTGCTTATATTAATGATCCATTAATATAAAAAATATATTATGTATTATTATATTATATATTATTATATTATATATTATATTATATTATATATTATTATACTATATTATATACTATGTTATTATACTATATTATTATTATTATACTATATTATTATATTATTTTATACAAATTTATACAAATAAATTATTATTTTATTAAACAAAGTTGTAATTTTAATTATATAACTATTTGTAAGCTATCATGCTAAAAAAATATATTTAAAAATTTTCGTAATATTAAATATGGTATCTATAAAAAAAAGAACTGTCAAATCTTTCTTCAAAAAAAGATTAATAGTTCATATCAGACCCCAAATGTAGAAAATCGGTACATGATAGGTAAAACCCTTTTTGTCCAACAAATATTCCTAAGGTAAAAGGTTTTCTAAAAAAAAAAAAATTAAATTTAATAATTAATACTAAATTTAATAACGAAGTATGACATCCAGGTTTATTTATTGCAATAAAAGTCAATGATATGACAATAATTATTGAAGTGCTTTATTAATTGGACTTAAATATATAAAAAATAATTTCCGTAAAATTACAATTTATAAATATAGATAACAGTAAATAGATTTTGCTATTAAAAATCGATTGCAAAAAATTTTAAAAAGGTTTTAAGCGAATGTATCTCAGACAAAAAATCCATGCCTTTAACATCGCAGTTGTAGCAACATCTTTGCTTTAAGAGCTGGAATCGACGTTATCATATAACATTGAAAAACAAAATTTTTGTTTTTGATCTAACTTAAATTCATTTTATTTTCAGATCTGTATTTTTGAAATGATTGAACATGATTTTGCAGAAACTAATACTTTAATTTTATTTAAAACCGTTCTCTCTTTTTTTTTTAGTTAAGTTTAAAACTCCCTGTTATATTGTAATGAAGTTGTACTTTATTTATTATAAATATTATCATAATTATTAAAAAAACTTAAGTCAATAAAACAATAAATTATTAGATATTATCATTAAAAATATTATTTTTGATAGACCTTTTTTATACACTTTACTGTTGATTACTATTGAAAATGAAACTTCTCTCATATGATTTTTTTGAACCAAGGAATCTTCTAACATATTTATGTTGCTTTGATTCATTACACTGGGTGTAACAATTACTCATAATTTTCATACATATATAAGAATATATATATATTAAAAAACTTCATACAAAAAGTTTAGCATATATGCATATACAATTATATATACAAATGCTACAATAAATAAGTAAATAAATAATAAAACACTATCTACATTTTTTTAATATTTAAATAAAAGACAAAATAATTCTTAAGAGGGTTTTGAATTAATATTTAACTTTAAAGAATTAAAAATCTGTACAGCTGTAATTTGAAAATTAATTCATTGCTAATGAAACTTCCATTTATTTTAGTTTTATAATTCAATACTTTATTCACTTCAAAAAAAAAAAAGATGCACTTTATGGTTTAGGCTTAAATACTTTCGTTATAGTTATTAAAATTATTTTTTGCGAATATTTTTACACTCAACTGACTCATATATATTATGTATTTATACAAGTCTATTGAAACTACAACAGTGTTTTGATGTATATTTAAAAACAACTTTTTTTATTATTTTATTTAATTAATGTTTGAGTGAAAAATACTCTATATACGTCTTTTAGATATAAATGAAAATATTTCGAATTTTTATTTTTAGATTTTTTTGCTTTTTATTTTAATTATTTTAGTTTTTCAATTAAAAAATATTTTTTTTTTAATACATTTTTATAAATTTTTTTTTTAAATTCTTGTTTTTAAAATTCAAAATATTTATATTTGAATTCTTTTGTAGTACAATAATATGAACGAATCTTATCACACAATATAATCATAAAAGGTATTTGAATAATTTTTACTATACTTTTGGCACAACAAATTCCGAAACAATTTACAACACACAACGACTTCCAATAAACTAAAAATTTTTCATTTCAGATTTCTTATTCCCCTCAAAATTTTTACTCAAAAATTGGCAAAATTTTTTATGTATATTTTCAGTAAAGCAAAATGCATTTGCCTTGCCGATGGTCAAATTTATTTATTGTCGTCATTGAGCAAATTTTCACTCTTCCATGAGTTTTGAACATTTCAGAAATATTCGAAATCTACATTTTTCAATGTTCATTTATCTTCTATTTTGCGCTCTGCGCTTTCAAACAAATCGATTTCGGTACATTAGCAAATATACGTACATATATCTTTTCGAATTAAGTCAAAATAGTTTTCATTATATATCTTTATAAATTTTTAAGAGTTTAATGCTTTCGATTGCATTTTTAATTAAACCGAAAGTTCCCGAAACTTCGTTATTGCACAAATTTTTTTACATTTTAATTAAGAAAATTTTCCAAAATGGCAACTTCCAAATTCTTCATTCCACTTGATTTTTGATTTTCTATTTTTTAATTCTCTTCCTCTGATATTAATTTTTTTTCTCGTTAATTTTTTTGAGTCTCAGCACTTTTGCCGCTACAATTTTGACTCTTTCTCACACTTCTTCCACTTGCCTACTCGACTTCTTCTACTTTTTCCACTACTTTTTTGTACCTAAAAATTTTTTCAGTGCATTGTTTGTAAACATTGGAAAAAGTATAGTTTTTCACAATTTCACAAAATTCCTATGAAAATTGTTTATATTGAACGAAATTGAGTGCCTTTTCATTTTGCTAATGGCTTTAATTTTATTTTTTTATTGTGTTTGTGTGTGTGTTCACTGCTGGCACTATCTGGTAAATAGTGCTTCTTTGTGGAATCTTCGGGACTGCAATTGTTTAATGTGTGCCTTATGTGCTTTTAACCACTTGTGGATAATTTTCTCATAATATGGAAACCTGAATGTTTTTCTCAGTGTTTTTAGAAGCTATAAGAATAAAATGAGGAACAATAAAAATAAAGAAAAATTTTGGGGTGAAGAAAAAAATACTCCATAAATATATTTCTAAAATGTTTATTGTTCTTAAAGTGCACGTAGTTCTTCGAAGTTTGCGTTATTATAATTAATATATAAAAATAAAATTTTTAAGAAGTAGTCAGTGGTCGAAATGCATTCACACTCTATTATTTAATAATAATATAAATATATTATAATAAATAGTAAATAAAAAAATTTAATATATCATATATAAATATATCCATATAATATATTATATAAATATATTAAAATTATATATCATATAAATGTACTAAAATTATATATGATACTATATATAAACAAATTATATTATTTAAATAATATATATAAAATAATAATTTATTTTATATGATATATATAAAATAATATATATTATAATATAAATGAAATGCAAATAAATTTAAATAACGCAAATTAAATAACGCTGGAATAGATGTAAACACGAAGATCCACTGTTTAAATTAGAGAAGGTTCAATTCCTGACACACGTCTGAAAATTACTTTTACAGACAATTCAATCAATAGATTACTTCCGGTAATGGATGTTTGGCGATATTGAAAACAGTTGTATGGACAATCCAAAAATTCACTTGACAAAAATTTAAGAATATTCTATAAATTTAAAAATGTTCTTAGTGTTTTCTTCTTCCTCCTCCCCGATTTGAAATAGATTTCTTGTCATAGGACAAAAAAAAATTTTTTAATTTATTAATTTAAAAACCGTTTTTATTTACTAATCAAAAAAAAAAAAATAAGTAATAAAATAATTATATAAAAATTAAAAGTAAATATAAGTAAAGTATACCATAAGTGAAATATAGGTAAGTAAGTAAGAATAAATTTCTAATGGGTTTCACGAAGATCGTTTATGGGTACCTTGTTTTTTACTACGGTGATTGTTATTAATATAAGAAATGTATGACTATTCGGTAATAAATATTTAGAAAACTAAATTGAAACAAATATACAATAAAAAAAATTTAGGCGAAAGTGGGAAAAACTAAAATTTTCTCTAGATTATTTGCCCATCAAAGGCAAAAAAACGTAGCGTTTTCAAACGATTTGTTATTTTTAATTTTAGAAAATCAGAGATGTTATTTTACAGAGTTACCAACATAATTTTATTTAAATTTGTCTCACAATTATGCTATTATTATTATTTATGCTATGTTAATTAGATGTCCCCTGCATTCTACTGATTTAGTAATAGCTATTAAATTTAAAACTTTCCCGCACTACTTTAATCAACTGATTTTCTTAGAGAATTTAATGGGGATTTCGATATCAGTTTGTAAGAGTTTTTGCGACCCTTTATTTTCCAATAATTTTAATTAGGTTTATTGCATTTGATGAGTCACTGCGCAATAGGTAAGTAATTGATAGTTCACCCTTCAAAGAGAGAACAAATAAATTTCTGCGCATAATAACTTACTAGACAATCTGGCTACAAAAAATTGATACTACTTAAATTCGTTTTAAATTGATAAATTGCATAGTCATAGACATAGTAAGTTAGTAAAAATGGAAATTGATCAACCTTCCCAAAAGATGATTTCTTTTGTATCCTAAATTCTCTTTTTTTTTGTTTTTGAATATATCAAATTTCTTGGTATCGATTTGAATGAGGATGTTTAGAAAACAATTGATACTTGATACGAGTCATTGTTTGACTGTTCATCTGCTTCATAACTGTCGGCGCGCTGATATGCAAGTAAGTGATACGTTTTTAGTTAGTTAGTGGATGGAGAAACGATTCCTCCACAATTAGCTAAGAAAGCTGTTTTGAACCCACAAATCCTCGTAATAAAGGGCAGAAAAAAGGTCAAGCTAGAACCAGCCAGAGGCATTTATGAAGGCAAGAGTCTGGTCAATGCTAATGCTGGAGATATCGGCGAGTGTGTTAAAGAAGGGAGCCCCTGATTGCTGAGGAAGTATAGGCTCACTTACTATTTTCCTGTCTCAAAAAATTGTCATAAATCAACCTTCGACCGTAGATTGCAGGGGCAGGAATTGCAATACGGCTATTTGTAGAAAAGGCGTTCAGTCTAGCAAGCTAAACTAGAGGTATCTAGAGGTAACTAGTTTACGCTGTTATGCCCACTGTTTCAGATATGCGACAAAGGCACTTTTTATTATTTGGCTGTCAGGAAATAAATCTTGTTTTAGTTTCTAAAATTAGTCTATTTAACAGTAGGTGAATGAAAAATTTAAAGCCTACAGCTTTCGCTTGACATATATGTATTTTAAATTTGCAAATAGTAAAATCTATATAGAAGAAAGTTATAATAGGATTGAGTATTTAATGATTGATATAAAATACTTATAAAAAACTACACAAAAATGATTAATAAAAAATGATAAAATGGAATGAAAATGAAAAAGCTGAAATAATTAATAAAATTAAAGAAAAATTTAAACACAAACAAATTGATAACAAATACTTATAAGAAAATGAAAAAATACAAATAAATACCAATTTATTTTATATTTTGCTTTTAATAATTTTAATTTTAGTTAAGTTTGTTTTTCATAGAATAGAAATACTCTTTAGGTCTAAAATTCTGGAAATTGTTAAGATACCTCGAAAAAATATATATAGTTGAATATATAGTTCATATATGTATATAGTTATTAAATATAGTTGAAAATTTTAAATATTTTAAAATGGATAATTAAAACAACATTAATAGTGTTTTATAAGTTTTAATAATTTAAACGCTTTCATAAGCCAATGTAAACAATTTAAAAACGTCATTTTAATAAAAAAATTAAAACATTTTTTTGTACTTTTAAATTGTCAAAAAAAAAGTAGAGCAAAAGTTTGAAGTTGTTAAGTAGAGAAATTTATATAAAAATTGTAAAAACGTAAAAAAAGAAAAAAAAAAATAAAAAAAAGGGGCGCGCGTCGTTATAACTGAAATGTAAGGGTATAAATTAGTCTATACCGCAACTTCGAAGGTAGTGCTGTTTAAAATTTTAGTCCTACCAAAAGTCATTTGATCAATTAACATATACCATTCTGATCTCTTATCGCATTCTTCCTACTTCCTACTTCTATATGATTTGCCGAAAAGTAGATAAGTTAACGAATATTTATATCTAAGTAGACTTTAATAAATAATACACTTAGACCCAACTTATATGGAGAGAAAGGACCATTGACCACTGATTGATATTTCTTCGACGATATGATTTGTGTGCATTAATAATAAGTAATTCCGAAAATTTGATCGTCTTTTCCGGCTGATTGAGAACTTTATATGATTCCTATATATCGGTTATTATCTTACAATTATAACGTTTTTGGACCATATGTGTCATGCATTCGTCACCAGTAAAACCATTATGTCTTCAAACTATCATTGATGACGGGTGTATCCTTTCTTGCAGGTTCTGTAGGTGGATTCAAGATGTTATGCAAAAAGCTAGCTTACTCAAAAATTGTGAAAATGCAATTCGTTCTTGATATCTTGTAATATGAAAGAAGTTTTATTGCTAATACAAAAGTATTTCTTCTATAGTTAATGCCAGTGTTTTTATATTTTCTTTAGGTTTTAAAGCAGCATTTGTAACATTTACTATAATATTTGAGAATTCTAGGTAATATCCTTCATTAAAAGATGGTAAACTTTTGCGATAACAACTAAAATCGACTTGTTTTTTCACCCATGTATGAGAAAATATTTCGCTTAACAAATAAGTCTAATCAGTTTAATACAGTAAACCAATATATTACTATAATTATCGGAATAGGTATAGAAAACTTTAATTATGCAATTTACTTATGAGAGTCAATAGGGTTTTGAAATTATTTAAAAAATCTTCAGTTAATTGACAAAAAAAAGAGTATTTTCTCGATATTTATCAGAAGGAATGTTCCAAATACAACTTCTTCTGTTGCTTTTCGTAACTATTATATTATTATTTTTTGATTAAAAATTAAAAAAGTAACATTACTATGTAACGGCACGAGATAAGTCATAAAAAAAATTATGGGCAATCTGCTTGAAGCTAAAATTTTGAATGGCAAATTTGAAGGTGAAGCTATTCT